AGTCATTTATTATATATATATATATAAACTTTTTTTTACTTTGATGCAAGTGATGCTGTAAGCATGTACCTGGGCTGATCTGGAAGTGTCTAAAAAGTGCTCTGAATCCCCCTGTAACTTGCTGTCCCTTTTGGCTGTTATAGATTCTGATGAGCAGTGGTTTTGTTCTGAAAGTAAAGAAGTGCTATTAGAGACCCCCTAAAATCCAACAGCACAGATAGAGAAAAGAGGATAATGAGCTCCTCGAGGCCTCATTGCAGTCACTAACCACTCTTATGATCCTGAACAGATGAAGGCTGTTTGGAAGGATATTGGTCGCTTTTCAAGTCATTGCTGTCATTCTGAGAGGCTGCCATGGGCTCAGGTGCAGGACTAGTGTTGTTGCTGGTCTCTTGCTTCAGTGGGGAGGAGTCTGCAATGGAGCTCTGGTTACTGTTATCATCTGTATGTAGAAAAGAGAAACATGATTAACAGGGTGTTACAAATGATTTGAGAGATGCTTGAAAAAAAAACTTTCATGCAGCATATAACTGTTAATATAGTTACAAGATAGAATAACAAATCAACATCAATTCATGTGTAGTAAAACTTTCAACAACCCCCTCTATTGGTTAAGAAGGATAATGGCCCATTGAAAGCCATTAATAATAATAATTAGTGCTGTCAAACGGTTAATCGCATCCAAAATAAGTTTGTTTACATAATATATGTGTACTGTGTATATTTATGTACATATAAAGACACACACATACAGCATATATTTTGAAAATATTTACATGTATTTGCATGTATATATATGCATATAAATTATATCATATATATAAATATATTTAATATATAAACGTAACATTTTTCTTAAATATATACATGCATGTGTGTGTATTTATATGTACATAATAAATATAAACAGTACACACATATGTACACAAAAACTTTTATTTTGGATGCGATTAATCGTTTGACAGCACTAATAATACAATTTCAAAATGCATAATTGATGTGAATTTACAGGTAATTTCTGGCATACTTAAATATTTCAGGAATCCCTAATAGATCAACTGTTTAGGAATCACAAAGCTCACAATTTGGTTTATAAACCACTATAATTTACAATAATTGCCAAGTAGCAGCCTAAAATAGACTGAGGATTATTGTGTGATTGGCGCCTGATAACTGTCAGGTCTACAGCATTACCATGCATATCCATCATTCCAGGAGAAGAGCTGTTCTCAGGGGTCGTGACCTCAGAGCCATATTTGTCATCTTTGCCTTTCTTCTTTTTCTTGCTCTTCTGTGTGACAAAAGTGCATTGTCAAATGCAGATCACATTTTTGCAGCTAAACCATGTGGAGACTGATGAACCAATTAACTTCTAAAAGATACAGTGTAGAACATATTGCCTTGTATGTGTAATGCAACAACTAAAACATTTAATGATCTGGGCCACCAGCAAATAAATAAATAAATGGCACTAGTAACCTCAATGACAGTAGGAATTTACCTTTACTAATTTAAAATAAAGTAAAAAAATTTTTTTTTACATAATTATATTTAACAAAACAATATTGTATCAATATATTAATGCCAATAATCCCCATTTTAGTATTGTTGTATTCATTTTTGGGAAGAAGAGATTGAAAAAGATTTATCTGTTATATTGGCCATAACATGAAAATAAATATTGGGTAACTGGTTTCAACTAAAATTGCAATAACAGTGTATTTATGGTGATTAAAGATGGCTTACATCATCTGACTTGGGCTCTGTCACTGGTACCCACTTGTAGATTCGCAGTGATGTGTCTCCAACAGTCACCCATTTCTTCTCCCTGGAGATGTATGTCATTGTTAGATATCATATCAAAGACAAAGGAGACCGAAAACAAATGAGTTTTACAGGGGATTAATTATTTAAACATTTACATTTATAGGCATCTCTATTTATTGTGTACAAAAATATTTCCAGAATATGCACTGTTATCAACTGATATCAACAAGACATCTATACTTTTTTCTATAAATATACACATTTTAAAGCGAGGTCAAGTCTTTAGTGGAGACCGAATGGTTGTGAAGAACAATACTAGTAACCATAATTAAATTTAAACTGATACAATGTTTAAATAATTTTAGTATTTCAAAGTTGGGAAAGATACTATTGTTGAGGCTAACGTTAATCTAATGATCTTTTTTGTAAAATGCATTGTGATTTAAGTCGCACTAAAGTTTAAGCAAAATGTTTAGGAGCGTGAAAGTGGAGGCTGAGTTTAAAGCCCCGCGCGTGGATAAAACTCTTCTCACGCGCCGTTGCTCAGGAGCGCGAGTCACTCGCTCTCAGATGAGATGAACTGGTCAAACAACCGTTCAGCGGCACTTTTTGTTCGGTACGGATGCATGACTCGAGTTCCTCATGTCAGCCCGTTCGGTTACTATTCAGCCGGCATTACAGGCTCAAACAGCAAAGCCTTCATGTGACTGCAACGAAATGGCTTCTAGGTTCAACCCACATAAAAATTTAATGGAAGAAAAAAATGCAATCTACATTTTTCCTAACTAATTTTTAAAAAGCCGACAAAAAGAGCAGCCGCGCTAAGAAACAGCGCATCTGACTGAAATTGGAGTGGAATAAACGCTCTTTCCTTTCATTTAATTGTTTCTCGTTGTCTCTCCTCCCCCACAAGCTGTCTGTGCTGTTCGTTAACGGCTAGACGCTCTCTCTTACCATTTCCGCACTTTTTCAATTGCAGCCATAACCCGCTTGATGTCATCTTTAGCCCTGCTCCGCGTCTCCGCTCGAACCGACCTGCCCGACATTACTGCTGTTGGTAAAATATCTTTTTGCTCGCTGCCTGTTTAGACACAATGCGAATGCACACAGCTCAGGAGAGAGGCGGGGTTTGTGCGCCTGCGCTGAAGCCAAATGCCCTGGAATCATGAAAGACACGGTCAATGCGGCTACGCGTTTCGCTCCTTTGTCTAGCGAACAGAGCACAGAAAACGATATTTAACAGTTTGTTGAGTGAGACGATCAAATCGAAACGGTGACTACGACATCCACACACGTTTTACACACGTAACTGGAAAAAATGAAGACCGACAATCGACAGTATGTCGTCAAACAACAACGTTTATTTCCGTATGATTTTACCTCCATCTGCGTTCCAGAAAAGTAAAAACACGCAAATATGAAAATACACTGAAGCAACAGCCTAGTAACCACAAAAATACTGTTATGCAATCAAAGAAATGTTTGTTTCCAAATATTTGTTTCAGGAAGCTTCAGATGTTACAGATCGTGCCCATGTTCTTGAGGAAGTTCCTGGGTTGCTGCAGAAAACCCCAAGATATCTGTGGCAAATGTCTCCATGCTGATTTCAGGAGGCAGCACGCTCTCAAATAGAGATTCTGTACGGGACAGACACAGTAGTCAAGATTGATACATTTTGAAAGTCACTGAATCTTTTTGGCCAAACATTCCTTGACCTTAAGAAGGTGATGTTCATACAGTGCAGATGACAGTATGACATTGAAGACAAGCTACACTATCATGCACATTTATGTGAACACTCAAAACCCAAAACCAACCTGAAATCAGTCTCTACTCCTTTCCAATTGAGAATACTATCTCAACAGTGCACTATTCATTTATAGTACATCTTTAATCTGATTTAAAAAACGGTGTACAATACAGCGTTATGTCTCATGGCGTCCTAAACACCAATATTCAAAATGAATCACTGTCTGGTCAACTGAGATTTCAGTATGGAGATAAAGGTTAGGATCATGATTTTTCAGTTGTTCTACAGTACACTGTGAGTGTATATTAGCACTTTTTGCTTTTGGGACCTGGAAACGCTGATGTGTGATGTCAGACTTAACATTCAGGCAGTAAGCCATCAAATTTGTGACTCTGGACCACAAAACCAGTCTTAAGTCGCACAGGTATATTTGTAGCAATAGCCAACCAACAATACATTGGGTCAAAATTATCGATTTTTCTTTTATGCCAAAAATCATTAGGATATTAAGTAAAGATCATGTTCCATTAAGATATTTTTAAATTTCCTACCGTAAATGTATCAAAACATAATATGCATTGCTAAGAACTTCATTTGGACAACTTTAAAGGCGATTTTCTCAATATTTAGATTTTTTGCATCCTCAGGTTCCGGATTTTCAAATAGTTGTATCTTAGCCAAAAAGTGTCCTATCTTAACAAACCATACATCAATGGGAAACATCAAAACAATTGACCCTTATGACTGGTTTTGTGGCCCAAGTTCACATTTGTCCATCAGTATGGTGGTTCGCAGGAGTTCTGCATACCTGTGCAACTGGCTCCCTCTCCACTAATACCTACAAGAGTTGTAAAGCATTCAGCCAAGTCATCATCGGTCATATGTTCACCTGAAATGAATTACAAGTAATTACTATTCTAGTCTTTCTCTGTTAAAGGTGCAATAGGTGATTGTCTTCAGAAACATTTTTTGTTATGCTGGTTGAAAGTCTCTTCACATCCCGATAGCAATCATTAAGTTAAGTAGTCTAAATGTATTTATCTGTATTTATATATTCTGTGGAAGGCGTAGGACCAAGAAATGTTCGTCCAATCAAAACGCTCGGTCCGAGCGTTTTAATTGGCTTTCCTACCTGCCTGTCAACGTATGTATTAGCATACCTCTGCGCACCCGGTTCGCGCAGACAGGATACGTCATCAGCGCATTCACGTACGCTGTGCAGACAGAGCGAGAATGGCAGACAAACATCATCAACAACCCGATCTTCCTTCCTGGTATTGTAGTACTTTTAAAGTTTTCTCACCGGTGAATGACACATGATGAAGCCCAGCAGTTCCCAATTCCAGTCCTCGCGATTCAGATAACCAGCTCGTTAGAAGCGAGCTACGTGCATGAACTGTGTTCCGATCGATATGATCCCTACACAGTGTTCATTGCTCCCTACTCCCTGAGCACGTTGAAGTTTACTTCACTTCGGAACAT